ATGGAGAGAGAAACCGATGTATGAGAGAACAAAAGTTAACATTTGGGGACCTTCTATGCAATCCACAGTGCGCGATGGAAATGAACCAAAAAACTGTATGACATCCCTGTCATAGTTCAATGAATGTGACGCGACACGACTCAGTGAAAACATTTAGAAGTCATAGGCTAACTGAAAACACTTGTAAAATATAGGGCGAATGAACCTACCTGAACGTAACCCCTTTTGCGTCTTTCTGTAAAATGTAATCCAGTTTCCAGTTTCCCATTCCCCTCTCACATGTTCTCCGCTCTAAGATCCTGTGCGCAAACCACACGAACCGCTTTCGCCTCTGTGCTTTATTCAAGCGCGCCCGGGAACATGAATACACGACTCGTCTCGTGTTTCCCAGCTAAACGGCTCAGACGGCGAACATACAGTGATTGTTTTATGCCGGTTCCGCCGCCCTGCAGGGGGAGGCTACCGGGAGACATCCAGTGCAACAGTGTATTCCCTTGTGTGGGTTCACGTCTGGAACGCGTCCAACAGCCGACTGCATGAGAGTTGTATAAAGTTACTAAAATCAGCCAGAGCTGGTGTGATTAGACGCAGTTTATCAGAAGCAGCTTCACCTGAGTCTGATGCGCAAAACAGTCACAATTTTGACGCGAGACAAATTAATAGATATATTGCAGTCGAGTGGAGAAATAAGTCATTTAAATTTAGGCGTGGGGAGAAGAGACTAATAGATAATGTTCTGAAGCACAAATTTATAGAAGGATTGTAACAGATTTGTTTTTTTTTCTTTCTGTAACTTAGTGTTATTTTGATATGTAATACTGTACTGATTAAATATTTGACAAATTAGCGTGTAAATCCACTATTTAGGCTACATAAAATAGGTAAATAAATGTCAAGTACATATATAAAATACGTTTTTGCTAAGGGCACATAGGCCTATGTGCATCACTGATAATTGTCATGCTCCAGTTCTAGATATCGTGATTCGTTATCGTTGAAATGCATGTTCTGACTATCTTAAAGTAATCTAATTTGTATTTCATATCAGACATCATATCAAATCCCATGCTATCGTTAAATATATTTGGTTTCATTCCCTGTAATAACGAGAGACCTTGCGGAAGTCTGGGTTCCTCTCGTTCACCAAAAACGCTTACCGCTCTAGGACAGAAAATCCCTCGAGACCTCATTTTTATTGTCTTAACATTTTGAGAGCGGAATCACTTCATTGAACAACCTAATTCTTTTCCAAACATGGTTACCGAGGTCTACAATTACTTCTATTCCAGTTCGCTTAAGAACCTCTATAAACCAATATATAAACAAATTAATTATATCAACGCCATGTGCGATGCTTTATCGGGAGACTAGCGTGCTGAGGAAACGCTGCTCGCGTGAGTTCCCTCGCGAGCATCGATGTGATTCTGGTACCCTCTCATTTTCCCAAATTACACGACTTACACGTCGCATTGAATGCCACTGACTGTGTCTTTCGGGTTTATCCAGGGTAGTGTTTGGAGGTGAAGTGACTAAACTCGGAGGCACATGTGCGCTCCTTACGCCCCGTTTAATTGGCGCGTTCTTTTATTTGGGTGTATTTTTACCTATTTAATGAACAAACACTCCCGGACATCAGCAGGGTGACTCACTCCCCTCGTGAATGCAGTTCATGGAGAGAAAAAGACAGTGCTGCTCGACCACTAAAACGATGGCTTTTCTCTTACTGTCTCTTGTCTACCAGGGGTTTACCACATGTGGGTGCCCACAGGTTTACTCTAACAGTGGCATCTCCAGGGTAACCACATGCCCCTGGGCAGGTAGTCACATCACTTTGTGGTGTACTTCATTTTGTGGGATGCCCATTGCTGTGGTGTGGTCAGAGGGAGAGATAATGTGCGCTGTGAAGCCTTGCTGAAAGTGTAATGACCCTTAAATGCACTTCACCAGTAAACTGCCCTGGTGCTTTGGGTGTCTGCCAGACCAAGTGTCTTATTTAAGATCTAGTCAGGTTTTGTACAGTTTCTACCACGTTGTCACAAAGCAGCTCCATGGGTCATCAGTGGGCAAGGAAAAAGGCATTTATGGTTCTATGAACACCCTTTAACATTGCACAAAACATTCTATTTATAGAAAATAGTTTCTGGATAAAAATGTTGAAAAAAAGACTGCGCTTGTCAAAGGAGGGGGCTTTGTTGAAAACAACGTGTTTGAGAGAGGCGGGGCATAGAGGACCTACAATAATGTACAGTATTTGAAAAATGTGTTTTTTGAACATTAAAGCATGTCAACATATTCTGTTACACCAAATACACAAAATGATCTTTAAAATAGCATCATATGACCCCTTTAAGAACTGTTCATTGTAAGGTTCCCAAAACTGTTCTTCTACGGCATCACTGTGAAAACCTCCTTTTGGAACCGTTATTTTCCAAGTTAAAGACACAGGTTGGCTTGGAAAGAGAAAATCTTACAGAAAATCTTTTACTGAACCAGTGAGCAATGAACCCAAGTGTTGTTCATTACTATTTTATTTCCTCTTCTGCTGGGGCAACATACTTGTGTTTTATTCGCCGAGTTGCCGCAACAGCATCTGCATAAAAAAACAATTAAGCGTTTATGAAGAACTAACCCAAACCCCACTTTTCAGCACACAAGTTTGATGACAAACCAAGATGTTTTATTCAACTAAATGCCACACCGCTGGAGCTTTCGGGATGTGTTAGGGCTAGATGAGATCCGACCATGTTTCTCACAGTTTCCAACATGGCGAACTGGGCTAAATTAAACGCAGGTAGTTCTTTTGCCGTAGTTGTAATTTTCTGAAATTACCTCGATGTCAACATGCTCTCTCATTAAAATCTCAAATCCCTTTTGTGGTACCATTAATACAGTCTGTCGCTCATTTAAACCAACATTTTCACACTGGCCTTGAGTTGAGCAGCCACTGAAGGTTGTGCTGTTGGGGCCACTTAAAGAAAGCCACAGACAAGATTTGTTAAAATCATTGGGCCTTGTGGAAAATATAAACTGTTCAACAATTACACCCATTAGAGATTGTTAAAAGTGATTCAATCGGTGTTTTTCAAATTACCTTAAACATTTAGAGCACAAGTCAAAGTACGTACACTCACAGCAGCCTTTCCACACATACTTAAGGCCATTACGGTGTCCAGTCTGAATGGCATTAGTGTCTTTCAAGCTGGCAAACACAATGTCTTGAAGAATAATTGTGTGTTGAGCTGTTGGTTCATTTTTTCCCACCTTGCCTTTCTTTCTTAAGCAGCGTTTTTATTTTAAAGACGGTTTCCTAAAATACATCAATGCCTGTGAAGTATGCGTGTCGTGTTTTGTTTAGTAATCTACTGGGTCGCCTGACTCTGTGTTTTGGCACGCTGTTATCTTTTCAGGTTGCACTGTTTTCAGAGGTAATACTGTTCCTTTTTTGAAGTGGCTGCTTATTCGTGCGGTTGGTGTATTGAGGTTGGACGCTTCGTGACCTCATATTAAGAATCCTGTGTGCACGCTGACAGCGCAGGGTTTATTTTCGATTTCAGAAGAACAAAAGAACTTCAATATAACATTACATGGAGCACATTTAGACATGCTGCCATTATGTGATTTACAGATAGCATTATAAGCAACTAGCAGCAGTACATCAAATACGTAAAAACCATAAAAGATTGTGGCACATAAGGATGATTGGCAGCAGTTTGATATATCTGGTCCGATCAGTTACCACCACCTTCTCCTGCTGTGTAAAAATCCAAAGCAAAAAGCTCCCATTACACAGTCTCGAACTCACTATATGAGCAGAAAAAAAATCTGATAATCATCAGCAGTTGGCCTGCCGCTGTACTCCCTCTGTCTGTCTTTTTCCGTCTCGGTCTCAACCTCCTCTCTCTTTCTCTCACCCATGTTGGGTGCTGAGAGCTTGATGAACACATCCTGATGAAAATTCAAGGATAATATCATTCTTGGTCCAGAGCCACAAGCCTCCCTGGCAGTTTTAGAACCCAGAAAGGGGAAGGTCTGTGCTGCTCGAGACCTTCTATTATATGTGCTTGATGTGTGTGTGGGAGGTAGGTAATGTATACTTAGTAGGCTATATACATTTATATCAGGTTACTATCATATTGTCATATCAGACTCAATAACTGGCATAATTTTTCTTTAATATAATATAATATAATAATATAATACATTCTGCAAGTTGCATTGTTACAGCAGTAAGGTAAGTTACATAGGTAACTGTCTTTATGAATGAGTCATTGAATTGCTCACTCGAATGATTTGTTTAAAACATTTTTTTAAAGAATGTGACAATATTTACATGTGCCAAATACAGAATCATTTGGACAAACAAACATTTATACTGATAGCCAACATTACAAGTCCAAATTGTTTAAAACATTTTGAGTAGGTACTTCTTTTGAATGTTATATTTCGTCTGTTACAAAAAGTATGTTGTATATAACATTAGTACAAATTTAATTCAAATGTACTACATTTGCAGGGGTGCACATAAGGGGTACACAGGTGCGCATGCATGACCTGGTACGCTCATTGCGACATGGTTGACAGCTGTTAATGCACAATTACCATTGGCAAACTGCAATGTATAAGATTTCTATTCAAACTGAAAGCAAAAATCTAGGCTACCCGCTGGCATTTTCAAAGCACAATGCAAAACTGTGACATGTCATTCACTGATGCTCTTCAATCGTCAGTGCCGGCAACCTGCCAAAATAAAAGCTTGCTGATTTTAAGTTTGAAAATGAAAAATGTAAATAATTCAAATTAAAAATAATAATTAAGGTTCACATTAAAATAATAATAATAATAAAAAAATAATAAAAATATTAGCATTTTATTTTTAAGTTTACTATAAAATAATTGTATTTGTATTTAATACTCCCTTTTTATTTTAAAATATAATAGTATTATCACACTTTATTATTTTATTTTATGATAGATAAATTCATATTTTAAAAAAAAGTAAATATTAGCATTTTATTTTGAAATTTACTATTAAATAATTGTATTTGTATTTAATACTCCCTTTTTATTTTAAAATATAATAGTATTATCACACTTTATTATTTTATTTTATTTAAATTTATTTTTTATAGTTATATTTAATGGATCACACTATGTGCAGTGTGAGGACCAAACCAAATCTCCAGGTGCTCTTATGAGAACCAGGCCGAAAAACTTATGTGCACCCCTGTGTCATGCGACCTACAGCATCAGTCATTTCACTTTACTGCTGTTCACAAATCTTCTCCCATGGCTTCACGTG